CTCGCGGCGTCGGTGAAGCGCGTGCCCGAGCGACCGCCGAGAGCACCGGACGCTGACGCTCTGTCCCGTTGTTGGTTTTCAGGGGGGCATTCTCGGTCGTGAGAAGATGTATGAAAATTACGACGGGACAAGAGTATGCGGCCAAAATTATCAACACCAAAAAGCTTTCGGCTAGGGGTGGGTATTTTTTACTGTGTGCTTATGAAGCTGCCTTTCCCCCCCCCCCCCTTCTTTTTTTCTCATTCTTGGAGTAAGCAATAGAAACAAAAGCTGTTACAATATTTTAATTTTCTTCATACATGTCTTCCTTTTTCCTCAAACGGTGTTCAGAATTGTCTCTGTTAATTAGCAGTTTTATGGATTGACTGTACACTGGTGTGAGGCTGTTGCTGTAAAGTGTCTAAAGGAAAGATGTACAAATCTTTATGGGGGTATTTCGCATGCTGGTTTTATGGGGGAGGTGAGGAAATAAATTTTCATTATGGCTTTTATTTAAGACATGTATCTCAAAATTTAACAGAGTTCCAGTCCTCCACTTCAGATAAATGTGAACATCAACCTATATCTAACTGAATGCCATGAGATAAAAATATAATTTACTGCCCTGAACTAAATTTTGTTTTAGGCTACTTTAGAAAGGAAATAATGGTTTTATAAAATAATAATTTGTGAACAAAGTCATTTTCATTAAGTAATGAATGATATAGCTGTTACAATTGTAACACCTGCTGTATCCCAGGTTTATATCTTACATTTGGTGTGTATATTTCTTGTGTATTTCTTGTGCCATCCATTCAGTGGATATATGCTTATGATACATTTGGGAAATTATGTGTGTACTATGGGTTACTGCTGTTGAAAGCTGGCCTTAATGGTGATCTGTCTATTCCTTGTTAAATCCAGGTCAAAATGCTTGTACTAGGATGTCAAGGATTATGGATTATTCTCTGTTAACATTATCTCTGTTTCGATATGAAGTCATTGTCCTGCAATGAATGTGGAAATGAATAAGCAAATCATGTTAGTAGGTAAACCTCTGTTTATGGCCTGGTTTACTTAAGATACAAACCAATAATTTCAGGTAAATCTGAATTAATTCATACATTTATGCATAAAATGTTACTAATAGTACTCTAGCATGTTCCACTAACATACTGTTCTCTGCCTTGAATCTTTTAATACTGTGTTAATATTCTCTATTTTCAGCTGATGAAAGGGATGTGATGCTTACCTTTTACCTTGCACCTAGCCTTAGTCTTCATACTTTGACTGAGAAATCTGTTTTTCATTACTTATTTTTCAAGCCATACTTAAATAGAGAATACTCATTTGTAGAGGATTTAAAGGGAGAAAGGTTAAGAACATAAGAATACCCGGGACTAAATATGCTGACAATTAACACAGATTTTGTTTTTTCTTTTGTCAGCACAATAGCATAGTCTGTTAAATAAGCATCCATATTTTGTGTGTTTTTTGTAGAGTTAAATATTTTCAGTGTGAGAAACTATGGCAAACTTAGTATCAGGTTGCTTCTGTACCACAGTTTTGATATGCAGTGGGGTAAAATCTTCAAATGTTAGGTTATATTAATACCCAAATTATGGTGTTTTTCAAGCTTTTGTACTTTTCTTATTATTTGTACAGAACTATGTTGATCCTTGGTGTAGCTCATTAATGAGTGGAAGTATACTGGGGTGAATTTAGCTTGTTAAATGGAATGAGGCAAAAATCCTACAGAGATTTTTTTTCTACAAAATCAGCATGTAAACCTATAAAACAAGGAGCTATATTTTAAAGCTTGGTAACTAGATTATGAAACACCTCTTTTTTTCTGTCTGCTATGCATATGATGCCTTGTCCATGAATGTAGAGAACACATTTCTGTCTGCTTTCATAGGTTTCAGAAATACTATTATCAACTTTTTTTTTTTTTTTAATTTGAAAACTATGAGGCATTTTTTGAAGAGCATTCTTAAATCTTCATAAATCTTATTAGGCAGGTCTTTAATGGCAGAAGGATATCAATTACAGTGCAAAAATATGAGCATTAACAACACTAGATTCTGAAACTTTGTTGTGTTTAATAATAGATACAATATGACTTAACAATCATTTTTAAGACAGTATCTCACTTCACTCGCACCTTAACTGCTCTATGATGAGATAACAATTCACTTTCATGTTTCATCCTGTAATTTATAGATGTATTGTTTGAAATACAGGTTATAATGTGAGTCTAAAGGATAGCTCACTGGGTGATCTGCATCTGAGAGACAATTATATGCAAGTTTTTAGCTTGGAAACGTGTACTACTTTGAAGTACAAAGTCATTTTTGACTCTTCTTGCAAGATTGAAGAAGAGCTGTTTCCATATATAGTTTAGGAAGACCAAGCCAATGCCTTTCTTTTACAAATCTTATTTAATGCATCTTCAAAACCAGAAATGATTTAACAGGTTTCAGCCCAGTCATAAAAATATCTCTGACTCCACTTTGCTTCTCTACCCCACCCGTAAATATTCATGGAGATTTATCTGAATCCATACCTTAGTGGTCCTTCTGAAATGAAGAACCTATCTGGTGACAGATCTATATTGTGAAAGTGTGTTCTCCTCTACCTTCTTACAGTTGCCATCAAAACGCCACCAAAGGCGCACAGTGCTTTCGATCACTGCAGAACTAATGCCAATAGAGGTATCGGTGAAAAGTACATCTAATCAAAACGTATTAGTTACCGATCTTCATGGCTTTTCCTTAGCATTAACTAAAGGTTGAACCTTTACTAAGGCTGAAACTGATACTAGAAACTGAAAGGCTAGTTGGCATCAATAGACCATGTTCTGGACAAGTCTGTGTGATTGGAGTATGCTGAAATCAGTGTGTGTGAGTGTGTATATATAAAAGTACACGTATGTGTATGTGCGTATAGCTTGCCCCTAAAACTAAGTGCAAGAGTGAATAAGCATGCAGAAAACTAAGAATTAGGCAAAGAATGTCTACTTGCTGATTGAGTACTACATTGATCTGTGTGATCTGTCGTAGGTATTTTCTTGTATATTCAGTTACTAAGCTTTTTGTTTTTGCTTATTTTTTGCTGTTAATTTGTGTGAAAAACAGTGTAGGTAAAGATGATTTTTGAAGTGACTTTATGTTACTCTGTCTTTACCAAATATGATTATAATTAACAATAACAATTTTTTGACATTATCTGTGCATCTTTTATCTTTCGAGACTCTTGGCTTTGATCCATGTTTCTTTCATACAATTTTATCCCATTTTCTTAACACATTTGGGCCTCATTTTTTACAGCTAAAAGAGGCGGGGGGGAGCGCAATTCTCTCTAGTCATATTGAAAAGATTGGTAACTAATACGTTTTGATTAGATGTACTTTTCACCGATACCTCTATTGGCATTAGTTCTGCAGTGGCTGAAAGCACTGTGCCTTTGGTGGTGTTTTGATGGCAACTGTAAGAAGGGCATGATGCTACAGTCAAGTTTCTTTTCTAGACTGCTCTTGCAATTATTATCTCCTCATGCCCCTCCCTGTTATTTTCTGTAGCAGAAATATGCACCACTTTTCTTATAGGTGTACATATTAGTAAGAGTAATGTAAGAATCAGCTGGAGGTTACCACTTTGTCAGATACTCTCAAGCGCTTTCAGGGGCCACATTAGCATGAGTGAGCCTTGGAGCTTTAAGCCTTGGAGGCTTTGCCAGTTATCTACCTTCCTTCTTAGTAGGAAGCTCTGAAATTCTTTCAGCATCTTCGTGTTTTTGGAAGAAGAAAGTATTTCCTATAAGCTTGAGTGCATGCATATGCAAGGTATAGCCATAGTTGACTAGACCAATAGCACCTTACTGCAGGTAGTTCTGATGGACATAGTGGCTGAAAAAAAAAAAAACACTGTTTTGGATCAGTATTTTAGTGGCAGAATTGAATAATCTTGCTGAGGCCAGACTATTTCAATTTCTAAAGCTCTCTGTGTAGAATGCTTCATGATCCCTGAAGCGATTTAAAATACATTAGGTAGATGAATGAAATGTGAAGCATATAAGGTGGTATTTTTCAGCTTAGTTTTTCATAACAGAGATAAACTTTTTTGTTGTGTCGCTAGACCAACAGTTCATTTAATCAAGTACCTTGTCTCAACCAGTGCCAGATACGTTACACTGTAATAAAGTGTTCTATACGTACAGGGGAAGAAAATAATTCTTCCTAGTCTGTCAAAGATTCCAAACCTAGCTAGAGATCTTAGTCTCTGAAGCATGAGAAATAAGAAACTGTGCACATTTATTTGTGCAAGTTTTGTATAACATAGCTATTTTTGAATACCCTGTCCCAAGCAGACAACACTCTTGTTAAGGGCATTTAGTTGCAAGTGAAGCAAGTGTCAGCTTTGTGTAGAAAAGAATTAAGTTTGCAGTTTTGGCCTTTTCCTTTCAGAAATATTTTATTCATTCCAGTCTGTTTTTCAGATTGGTTGTATTTTGAATGACACATGTATTGAACATATGTTTAAAAAATATGTTCTGATAGCATGATAGGGAGACTTACCTGATAACATGGGGTTTGATCTTTTTGTTTTCTTTTTTTTTTTTTTTTTTATTCTCCTGTCCTTTAGCTTAGTGATGGCATACTGTTTAGTTCAACAAAGATGTTTTGTTTTACATGGGAAAGTAAGGTTTTTTTTAAGTCATGTGTACTGTTTTGAAGTTTTGGAGTTTTGTTGGCTTTTGTTTTTAGTGAAAATCCTGAGAGCATGTAGATACTCCTGAGAATAAGGATAGAACTTCGGATGCACTGTGGCAAGCATTGTTCGACTTTAACAACTTAAACCATATGTGAAATGAGTGTTCCTAGTAACTGGTACATAAATCTATAGCAAATCTTACATAATTTCTGTAATGGCAATTCTCTTTGTGAATAATTTTTTTTTTCTCCCTTTGACTCTTGCTGCTTCTAGGAAAGGAGATGCTTTTTCTAACTTGTGTGTTGATAGGCCTAAAATAAATTATGTTAGAATTCAGAGGTGCATGTGTCATCCCTAGAAAGATGAAAGCTTGTTTCTGGTGTTAGTAATGGGAGGTGCATAGGTGAAAATCATAGCACATACCTAGCACATCTGTAGGAGAAGTTTTTTTTCCTATCCCAGTTTGCAGAGTTATTAAACATGCCT